AATTCTCAATATCCTGAATCTTCGAATGCTCTGAGTAATTTTATTCTTGAATAACGTCAAGATTTCTGAATACCTGAATTTCTAAATTTTGGAATATTCTCGAAATAATCAAATCTAAAAAACCTTTTATTCTAAAAAAAATTTTACACACAAGATTTGATCCGATGCACCATAAGTACTACAATAACAAAACAATTGAAATAGTTTAACAATTAAATTGAGCTAGAGTCTATTTCTAACAACTGGTCGGTCACGACACTCCCGGTGACAGTTTGGAGATTGGACGAACTTTCTGGAAAAGACGCTTTTTTGAAATTCTGACTTTCAGAATTTTAGAATATTAGAATCTTAGATTTTCAAAATTTCAAAAATTTTGGAACTCCAAGAAAAACTCACTTTTTTTTCTATATATCCGAATTTCTTGACGTCTTGCTAAAGTTTGGCGGAAAATCTTAAAATTGGAATTTCTCTTAAAAATTGTTCAAAATTTGAAAAATTCGAAATTAAAGCTTACCATTCTTGATTCGCTCTTATGATTGGCACAGTTCTGATGTCGTTGCACGATATTGGTCATCTTTTCCTCAATAAAATCATCTTCTGAATCCTAGGTGACGTCTTCTGATTCTTTGGAGAAGCGACCTGAACCACATTGCCATTCAGCATTGCAAATTGCTTTCGGTTCCCTTTTCTGTTCTGAAATTTACGAATTTTCAGAAAAATCGTTCAATTCTGTGTTTGCTGAAATCCTAGAATTCTCGAATTACAGACGCATTTTCCATACTTGCTAAATCTCGGCCTGGCCCGGGCCGGGCTGGAGAACAATTTTGATAATTTTTGTCAAAATAATCATTTTAAAGCACGAAATTTATTCCATGACCCTTCTTAAGGCCAAGGCCGGGCCGGGCCAGGGCCGGGCCGAGCCAGTGAAAATTCCTCCACCGGTCCGGCCCGGCCTGTATTGCATTTTCGAAATTTCAAATTTTAAGAAATAAATTCATAAATACAATTTTTGAAGCTTTCAAGACTGCTTTTTTCGAATTCGTGGAATTCAGGAATTCTGAAATTCTGAAACTCCGAAATTCTTAAATTTCAAAAATTCAGACACTCAAAGCTTCGAAATCATTGAAAATCGAGAAAATATGAATTTTCAAAGATATTCCAATTTTTTTTAGTTTTCTCAAAATATTTTTTTTTCAGAAGATTGAAAATTCAGAAATTCAATTTTTTAATATCTGGAAATTTTAACTCAAAAATTCTAGACATTCTTCTAGACAAAAGAGAATTTTTTTTTGGAGAAATGGAAATTTGAAAGTAAAAATTTTTTAACATTTCAAAAAAAAATGGAAAATTTTAAAAAGTCGCATTTTTTGTTTCAAAATCTGTCTCAGAAATTATTAAAATTACTCACCGTTAATTAAAATCATATTGAGTTTTATCACATATAGATTTCAGACAGAAGAATAAATAATTAGGGTAAATAGTAAAATTGAAGTTCGAAAAAAATCAGTATTGAGACATCTAAAGACACGACGCCATAGGAAAAGTATGATGAAAAGAAAATCGCAACGAAGAAGTTCAAAAGTGAAAGAGTAAGAGAATTAGAGAAAAAAAGATTGATGAGTTTCTCTCGGATTTTGTGTTCAGTAAAGTGTCAGGTGGTGCTCAGGATGAGCAATTTGAAGAGGAACATTTCTGAGAAATCGTAAAGTGGAACGGATAGAAAGTTTAGAGGGATTCTGAGATTCTGTGATTCTGAGATTCTAAGATTCTGAGATTCTGAGATTCTTAGATTCTGAGATTCTGAGATTCTGAGATTCTGGGGATTTCTGGAGGGAGTCGTATGTATCTTCAGCATTGTAGCCATTGATTGAATCCGTTCCGGGTACTTTGTCCAACAAGTGCTCCGAAATTCTCCTTTTGGTTTGTCCAATTTGGCTCCGCAACTTTCCACTGCTGCTGGAGCTGACGGCGGTGGTAGGTCGAGTGGTCGCCATGTCAAGATGAGAGATTCCAAGTAATCTCTCACCTTGTGAATATCTCAAACTTGGGTAATTAAACCTTTTATTTATAAACAAAGAAAAGATAAAAAAGGAAAAAGTTAAAGTGAAACAATAAAAAGATATATCAATTGTGGCTCTCGACGGTTTTTATATACGTTTTTTAAACCAAAATATTGTGATTTGTCATCGAGATTCATCATCCAACTTATGTTTGGATGACGAATCTCGATGACATCAACGAAATACGTTAACACTTCTGATTCTGAATTTTGTGTATAGAAATTCAGAAATTTAGATTCTGAGATTTTGAGATTCTGAGATTCTGAGATTCTGAGATTTTGAGATTTTGAGATTTTGAGATTCTGAGATTTTGAGATTCTGAGATTTTGAGATTCTGAGATTTTGAGATTCTGAGATTTTGAGATTCTGAGATTTTGAGATTCTGAGATTCTGAAATTCTGATTGTGAGATTTTGAGATTCTGAGATTTTGAGATTCTGAGATCTTGAGATTTTGAGATTCTGAGATTCTGAAATTCTGAGATTCTGAGATTCCAAGATTCTAAAGATTCTGAGATTCTGAGATTCTGAGATTTGGAGATTCTGAGATTCTGAGATTCTGAGATTCTGAGATTCTGAGATTCTGGAATTCTGAGATTCTGAGATTCCAAGATTCTAAAGATTCTGAGATTCTGAGATTCTGAGATTTGGAGATTCTGAGATTCTGAGATTCTGAGATTCTGAGATTCTGAGATTCTGGAATTCTGAGATTCTGAGATTCCAAGATTCTAAAGATTCTGAGATTCTGAGATTCTGAGATTTGGAGATTCTGAGATTCTGAGATTCTGAGATTCTGAGATTCTGAGATTCTGAGATTCTGAGATTCTGAGATTCTGAGATTCTGAGATTCTGAGATTCTGAGATTCTGAGTTTTTGAGATTCTGAGATTCTGAGATTCTGGAATTCTGAGATTCTGAGATTCCAAGATTCTAAAGATTCTGAGATTCTGAGATTCTGAGATTTGGAGATTCTGAGATTCTGAGATTCTGAGATTCTGAGATTCTGAGATTCTGAGATTCTGAGATTCTGGAATTCTGAGATTCTGAGATTCCAAGATTCTAAAGATTCTGAGATTCTGAGATTCTGAGATTTGGAGATTCTGAGATTCTGAGATTCTGAGATTCTGAGATTCTGAGATTCTGAGATTCTGAGATTCTGAGATTCTGAGATTCTGAGATTCTGAGATTCTGAGATTCTGAGATTCTGAGATTCTGAGATTCTGAGATTCTGAGATTCTGAGATTCTGAGATTCTGAGTTTTTGAGATTCTGAGATTCTGAGATTCTGGAATTCTGAGATTCTGAGATTCCAAGATTCTAAAGATTCTGAGATTCTGAGATTCTGAGATTCTGAGATTTTGAGATTTTGAGATTTTGAGATTCTGAGATTTTGAGATTCTGAGATTTTGAGATTCTGAGATTTTGAGATTCTGAGATTTTGAGATTCTGAGATTTTGAGATTCTGAGATTCTGAAATTCTGATTGTGAGATTTTGAGATTCTGAGATTTTGAGATTCTGAGATTTTGAGATTTTGAGATTCTGAGATTCTGAAATTCTGAGATTCTGAGATTCTGAGTTTTTGAGATTCTGAGATTCTGAGATTCTGAGATTCTGAAATTCTGAGATTCTGAGATTCTGAGATTCTGAGATTTGGAGATTCTGAGATTCTGAGATTCTGAGATTCTGAGATTCTGAGATTCTGAGATTCTGAGATTCTGAG